AAAATAAATCCCAAGCCTGCTTGGACAAGGGAACCCCAGCAAAACCTTAAAAACTGTATTCCCGGCCATGAGAGGATGGGAGATCAGACATGTCTCTTTAGACCCCCTCCCTTTTGTGGTTGACACAAAACAACTCATCAACATTAGTGTTAAAATAGAGACCATGAGACTGATGGGGTGGACTCTTTGTGGCAATAAGATACCAACTTATAAATAGGACCTAAGGTCATGGCAGGCAAGAGTTAGGTCATTCACCCCCACACTTAAAGAATAAACTGTGTTCTGACTGGCTCAAGATTTTAATTTTTCTCTAGCAACTATACAAGCACTGGCCTCCACCAGATGCCCACCTTGACCCACTGTTCCACAAGCCATAGCTACAGCTTTCGTTGGACAAGAGACTGATTTCAGTAACCTTATTCCGATAAGAGGACCACTGAACCTGCTGTAGTGGTTCTGACTGTTTACAGAGGCTTTGTGCTTGAGTGCCCTCATGTCCCTGCTCAATTTTTTCGCCTATGGGGTTAAAGATGAGTGGGTCAGTGAAGAAATGGAGGTTAAGTGTCTAAATTCATGCCTCTGTTTTGGTATCATTGTGAACACTAAATAAAAATTTGAATATTTTTTCCCTTTATGTTTTCAACTTAGAGTCAAGTATGAATATATACTAATCATATTGCTAATCATATGTTCTGGGTTTTATTCTTCTCTCTCCAAACAAGAACAAAATCCTTGGAAAGTCTCAACAGATTACATTATTTTTCTAATTTCTATTTCTTGTTTTACACTTAACATAAATGCACCGGTAAATTGATTCTGTGGCCCTGAAGTAATTAGCCTCATTTTATCTGCAAATAATACACAACTGAACTGATTCTCTCAATATTTCCCTGAAGGTTGTTTCTTCCCTTAGACAGACTTTTTCTGTTATAAAGCCAAACCTTCAGTAACTCTAGATGGCAAACATCCAGAGACCTTCCTTACCCTCTTCTCCTTTGTCACTCTCTCTCTGCTTATTATTATGAGGACAAGCCTGACCTCCTGGCACTCCCTTTTCTTTTATTTCTTGCATTATGCACAAAAGCGGGAAAGTCTGAGAACTGAACCAGCAATTAATAACACTTTTTATTTAGCACATTCACAAAAGAAATGGATCTAAATTATCATTCATTAATCACTTTTCTGTGTTTTACAGTGATAACATATTAAAAAGTCAGCATCAGAAAAGTATTAGCATATGTGACAGTCAATACAAGTGTTGCGAGTATGAATAATTACAGATATATTTGTGCAGTGACCTGAACAACTCTCCTTAATGGAGGTTGGATGCTCACGGGATATTGAGTGCATGGGAAGATGTGATGAGAGGTCAGAGAAGACATAACAGTGGGAATGTCGTTGATAAAAAAGAGTTTCAGGTGATAGCAGATCGGCAGCCAGATGGGCTAGCATCTTCAGACAGGAATGAAGCAGATCTGGTACGAGGGTGGCAGAGAAATAATCCCTCTGGTAGTTGAAGTAGTATTGAGGTTCTTTAAATCAGCAACAGATTTCAGGTTAAAGTTCTGTAAAATTGTGGTTAGAAATAAAAATAACTCCATGCGGGCAAGTCCCTCTCCTGCACAAATTCGTTTTCCTGAAGATAACAAAGGGAGGAAGTAGTTACTCCTTGTGTTTAACTGTGACTGTGACAGTATGTTTGTGACTTGCACAAACAGAATACGCAGTAAATAATTGATTAATGATTGGGTAGATGAATGAACATGTGGATGAATGGATGGATGAAATGATGAATGAATTAATGGATGGTAGGACAAACAAATATACAAAAAGAGACAAATTTGCTATCTGTCTAACATCTAATCTCAATAGGCACCCTTCTTTCAGCAAATATTCATTGATTATCAGTGCCATAACAGTCGCTTCATTATTTATTTCCACATTAAAACAACTCTGTTTCCATTTTGAGTTTCCATCTGTCATTATAGAAATACATGCACATTCTTGTTTCCTGTTCCAAGCCTGATATTCCATGATCTTTCCTTCCACTTTTCACATAATCTGTTCGCAACTCTAGTCATACACACTCTTCATCAATCTTGAACACACCATGAAGTTTCAAGTTTCATATCCTGTTGTTCGTTTTGGCTAAGATACATCTTTATTAGGCTACATTCAGGACATAGGTTCAATTTCATTTCATCTTCACACTCTTTACAATTCCCTCAAGTAATAAAATCCTATGCTCTCTGGTTTTCCTCAACATCATACTCATGTTTTCATTAAAACATGGATCACCAGGAATCATAATTCTGTATTTATTTATCTATCATGCTAAAATGTGAATTATTGAAGGAAAGTCTCTGTCTTTGTCATCTTGGTATCTACAGTGCCAAATATAAAGCAGACATAAAAGATCAAAGAGTGAAGGAAGGAGATTCCATGGCCAGAGACTTAGCACACAAAGCACAGGTGTGAAAATCAAGTATCCAGGATATATGATCATGATTGGAGGAAGACAGGGTGCTATGGAATCACTGCAAAGTAACCTCCTCCCTTGCCAATGTTTCTGGAACCCCATAATTTTTTGGCAAAGGTTCTGACATCCTTGATCTAAAGTAAATGTCCTGCTCTATCATTCATTATCTCCTTCAAAATGCCCAGCCTTCCCTTAAATTTTATCACCTTCTTTGAAGCACATCAAACATCCTCTGAGTTTCTTTCTCCATTTTATGCCTCACTGTGTTGTATGAGAGAGCAAGAAGCATGCAGATTCCCCCTCTAGCCCCTACCCAGGGGCCTGTGCATTCCTCTCTCACTGTCCTGGTCTGACTAAATTACAACGACCTGTTTACTCTTCTTCCCTAACTCAGGAGTGAGCCTCTCTTCTCACTGAAAGTTGTGCCCTTGGAGCTCAGCCTGGGAGGTGACAGACACCATGTAGAAGACACTCAATGCAGTTGTGGACTCAGATACATTCACCAAGGCAGGTAAGGACAGATCAGGTGAATTTTACTGTCCAGGAGGAGCTCTTGGGTGCCTTAGTGATGTATCTAGTGGCAGAGTTCAGTCAACCCAGATGTTAGTTTTCTCAGTTGGGAACAATAGGGTTAACTCCTGGAAGCCCCACTATCTGACCCAACAATGAGGGTATATTGTGAGGGTGGAGCGCATGGGTATTGAGAGTGGTGCTCTTGATCATGGACAAATAGCAATTCTACCAGCCCCAGATGGGGTGCCATGCAAATTCCAACTGATTCCAAAAAGTTCTCTCTTTCCTTCAAATGCAAATGGAAACAAGATTCTATTACCTGCTGAGAAAGGCATGAAGTAGTCACTTTTCTTAAAGTTGCCATTCTCATCCAGAAAGTGGCCAGGGTCAAAGATCTTTGGATTAGGGAATTCTTTGTCATCGTGCAGCACAGAAGTGAGTAATGTCATTATGATTGTGCCCTGGAAGTAAAAAAACAGATAATCTGATTCATAAAGAAGTCCAGAGGTGAGAAGAAGTGGACATCATGTAGCCCCATATCATTGATCAATAGATGAGGGAACTAAGGTCCAGCCAGACATAGTAATTTACATGGATGAGCTAAAGGCCAGTGGTGGAAGCTTGCTAAAGAACTTTCCAATCACATTTGAAGTCTTACATCTTGGATACTTGTGTGCAACCCTCTGAATATGTTCTCCAGATCATCAAGTTTGGATGCCCTTGTCTGTCCCCATCACTTCAAATTTCACACATCTTGTATTTAGATTATGTAGATTATGGTTTAAAATGGAAGTCTCTGTTGACACTTGAAATGTCCAAAGTATCTGTTCATAGAACTTTTGTAAATAAACATGTAATCTATTTTAATATGATGTCATCTGGAATGATAACCACAAGTGCAATAACCAGTAAAAACTATTGAGTGCTTATTATTGCCATGCTACAGATTAATTTTAGCTTAAAACACTGAAAAGATGATGAAATTAGAAAGATTATCACTTTGCTACAATTCAAGTCAGGATCATCAGGTCAGGTAAGGATCATCAGTTAAAGCTAGAACCACTGGGTGTGTGATTCTGGAAGCAGGAGTTTCACAAAGTCTTAATGTACTCCCATAGACTTTTACTAGTTGTGTATAAAAAGCAGAACCCCTACAACGGTAAGATCTGGAGGATACCACCATATTATGTGAGGAACTTAGCGTGACCAATAGTGACATATGTGGCATTTTATGCTCCCACCTCATCAATGTGATTCAGTGGGATATTCAGTGGGATTCAGCACCTATGTAGTTTTCTTGCCAAAATTCTAGCTGGAATCTGCCTCTAGAAAACAGTCACACAAAACTAGCCTGAGGAACATTTTAAATGACTGCTGATCTCAAAAGGTCAACTGATGGAAAAGAAACAAACAAGGAAAGGAACTTTCCTTGATTACAGGAGGTGAAAAGGTCAACATAAGTGAATTATATGCTTGTTCCTTGCCTGGATAGTAAACTGCAGAAGAAAAAAGGCATAAAAATATTCTAGAAAAATTGGAAAAATTTAAATTTAGGCTGTATTATTATTTGAACAACAGCTGCTGAGCGTGAATACTCTATTATGATGTATAAGAAAAATCTTTGTTTTGGGGCATACATACTGCAGTATTGACGTGTAGATAAACGCTTGTATTGAGAAAGAAAAACCTCTTCTGATTGTGTGCTTTAGTAAAAACAGTGTGGATTGAAGTCCTAATCCTTGTAAAAAATCAGTGATAATTAGGGAAAGCCCCATCGCATCTTGATAAGTTATCAATTCTGTCTTCTCTGGAGGATAACATTAGTAATTGAAACCTTATCAGTCTCATTGTTATCCTTCATGAAAATATAACTTTTATTATTTTTCATTGAATAATAAGTGGAATAGTATAGTTTTTAGCATAGCAACTAAAACATCTGGATGAATACAGAAACCATATGATAGACAGCATTGTAAAACTGCAAAGACCAAAATTGGCCTCCAGATTACAAAGACAATAACTGGCCCCAGTGACGGGAGAACTTCAGAGGGGTGAGCTCATACCTACAGTCAATTTTTGACTGTGTTCATGTCATATTCAATTCTGAATCGGGACAGGAGGTATTGTCATTATAACTGCCTATGAGAGGTGAATGAATCCATTCTGGAAAAAGATAAACGTTCTCCGAAATTCTGCATTTTTTCATATATAATATCTGGTACTGAGCCATAGGGTTTTAGGCATTTGAAAGACACAACTAAGCAGTCACAAGAAGAAAAGTGGAAGGAAAAGAAAGCAATGAAAACAGACCCACATTAGGGAACATTTCTCAACTAGTTTTATGCAGCCAGCATTATCTTGTTATCAAAACTCTGAAAAGAAAATGTTGAGGAAGAAAAATTGCAGACCAAAATATCTTATGAATATAAATACAGAAGTCCTGAACAATAAGTAACAGAGCAAATTCAGCTGTTTGTGTATACCTATGTATATTTAGTGAGGGATGTGAGGCCAGTATATACAATCATATAAATAGATGCAGAGAATCAATTTGATAAAATTGCACACACATTCATGACAAAAATTTATATAAAAATAAGAGAAGAGGAAAAACTTCCCTAATCTAATGAAGAATATCCACTAAAATCTTAAAGATTTCTGATAAAGAATATCTACTAAAATACTTAAAGCATCATTCTCAGTAGTGAAATATTAATATTCTTGTAGTCTACCCCCCAGCAGATCAGAAATGAAATAAGGATGCCCTCATCACCAATTCTATTCAATGCTATCCTGGAAATCCTAGCCAGTGCAGTAATGCAATAAAGACAAATTGAAGACAAAAATCATTGGAAAATAAGAAATAAAATACATATTAACCCAGATAGCAAAATAATGTACATGGAATTTCCAAGTATATCTACAGATAAATTATTAGCAATGATCGGTAAATTTAGAAAAGTTGTTAGATATAAGGTCATCAAAATAGTATAATTGAACACAATTACATATACCAATTACAAAGAAATAAAAAAGCATTAAAATTTTATAACAACAAAATATTAATTATCTAGGAAAAACCTAATAAAAGAGTTGTAAGCCACTGCACTGAAAAGAAAACATTACTGAGAAAATAGAATAAAGCTCAATAAGTTGGGAGCATAACCATATTCATGAATTAAAATATTTAATGCATAAACATGTTAAGTCTTTCCATATTGAACTACACAATGAATGTCACTTTGATAAAAATCTCAGAAGAGTGTTTTGGGAAATTGACACACTGATATTTTCAACAATTATTTGAAAGTATAAACACCTAAGAGTAGCCTATTAAGGAGACCTAGCTTTATAAATCTTTATAGCCCCAAACAAAATAGCAGAAAGTCCATCAAGCTGCCACATGTATGAGTTTTGCACTTCTCTCATCTTCTGTTGTTAGAGGATTGGAGCTAAACTAGCACTTTGGAAATTTCAGAAGCATAGAAATATAGTGTGAGAGAAACAAGCTTACCTTAGGGATAAAGTAGTTTCTGAACTTAATATCAGTGGTCACTGCATGGGGCACACCAGTGGGGACAAGGTCAATATATCTCTGGATCTCGTGTATTACAGCATCTGTGTAAGGCATGTGGCTCCTATCCTGCATGCAGGGGCTCCTGTGTCTGCCAATTACATGAACAATCTCTTCCTGGACTTTAGCTGACAAGACACAAGAAAGAACTGATGGAAACGGAGATATATGGAACATTTGTCATAGCAATTCATGGTCACATTAAACATGATGTAAAAATCCCAGCAATATTACAAACATGAGTTACATGTGCAGAAGTACAACCAGCCATATAAAAAGGATTACTGTAATATAGACACATACCGTTCTCCTACAAACTAGTCATTACAGTGCACAAGTACATTTCTATAAATTAGCATATATGACAACTAATACAAATTTAAGTAATAAATATTTTAAAAATAAAACATAATAAGTCAAGAAATTACAGTGCTTGCAAACAGAAAAACAGAAATCAAATATTATGTGTATTATCAAAATAATATATGGGATATAACGTTAAATTGTAATGATTTTGTAAATATATTTGTGTGTGCGGTGGTGGGGCAGGGGCAGTGATGCAATTAGCACTGGTACTGTCTTCATTTTTCCACTTCCCAATTGTGGCCACTTTGAGCATGCTAGCAGCTTCTTCTCAAATTTATATTTACATTTCTAAATAACCACTATTTCTTTCTATTTTTTACTTAACAATTTTTAGACAACATTTAATGATTTTCTGGTATGTGAGATGAGAATTTTTATCTCCATCTCTATTCCATGTATAGACACACGCCCACAAAGTCGTATATGTACACACAGACACATACACACATCTACACACACACACATATTCTTCCTTGGTTCTTTAGTTAAATCACAATTTTCTATTCTTCAAGTTAGAGTATTTGTACATGTTTGAAACTCCTAGTAATAATTTCTCAATTATAGGGAAATCTCAGACTATCAATCACATCTCTTTGGTTCTTGAAGTCTCCTCTACGTGTATTATTTACCTGTTCCCTTCTGAAGTGGTTGTTTCCTAGGAGCCCAGCAGCCTCTCTGATGCTCTCATTCTCTTACATGGGGTCTCCTG